AGCGATGGCTCTGCCAAAACTCCTAAGACTGAAACGCTTTCTTCGTTAAACGTTACTTCAAATATTTAAGCGTGGATTCTGAAATTTTAAACAAAGCTTCTACAATATTTCAAGGAGTTTAGCTAAATCTCATTTTCTTTTTAAAAAATATATAACTACAGAGCGACGAGGTTGCGTCCTTTCCCCTGTCCTGTATAGGATATAATAATAATAATAATAAAGTTCACTTCAAAACACGCTTCATCCCTAAAGGCTCGAAGCGCGGTACAAAGTCAACAAAAAAACAAATCTATAATTTACCACATTTAAAACAACGCAACACTACAAAAACTAATTACAAGCATACAATGTCAAAGTCTTTCTAGCAATTTCAACCATAAGCAACTCAGCCATTAAGCATTAACTGGAAAATAAGGTAGACAATCATCCCAGAAGGTGTTTGCGAAATAGATGTGTCTTTAAATCGGTTTTAAAGGACTCCAGTGTCTCGTTGTTTCTGAGATCGACAGGAAAGGCGTTCCAAATTGTTAGACCAGCAAATGCGAAAGTGCGCTTTCCGTAAGTCTCAAGTGTCGAGAGTTTGCCACTATCAGATGAGCGGAGCTCTCTAGTGGGTACATAAGGCGTCAGCAGCTCTTTCAGATAGGACGGCGCCAGGTCATGTAAGCAGCAGTAGCACGAAGTTGCGATTTTGCACTCTATGCGAGCACGCACCGGCAGCCAATGATATCCAGAACCCAAGCAACACCGTTCCAATAATTAATTTTCCACGTAATATCTGAAAGGGAAATTTTATTTCGCAACTTAATTACAAGCTTTATCCGTTGGTATGGTGAAAAATTTCTTGAGTTGAATGTCTCACAAACCGTAAAACACAGATCTGACCAAAAAAAAAAGATGCTGCTAGGTGTCGTCCATGGCTTGACATGTCAATTGTTTTAAATATACATTTGTTTTATTTAATTAATGTATGTTAATTATTTTTTTTAAAGTTCATGATTATGTTTGTTAAATTGCATGTACAGCGTGGTGAGCCCAGCCATAAGCTGGGGTACCACCCTATATAAAACTACTTATAATAATAATAATATAAAATATCATAGTATAGAGCAAATGGATATCAATAACTACCTAGGGGTCACCAAACATGGCTTTGAACACGACCAAACTCTATGAAAGAAAGTTAACCAAAGACTTTTCTATCTTAAAAAATGTTCCCATTTGCGGCGTTAACCAATACATTATGAACATACTCTACTTGTACACGGCAATAGTTGTAAGCCTACTGAATTTCAGTATTGACTGCTGGTGCGGGAATTCATCGTTTCTCCTCTGACACCGATGAAATAGAATTGTCGAGTAACATCAGACGATTAGACGATTCATCTATCCATTTCCATCACAAATACCTAAGATCAGCACAATCAGGTTGAATTATTTCCCTTTAAAGTTAGGCCTTAAAGACAGAAAATTCATTTGTTCACCTATCTGTCAGAATTTACCAGCGTGCTTACGGGTTGTTACGAAAGCTAAATAATCACTCTTAAAGTCAACATAGTCACTAAGGAAGTGACGTTCTATGGCAGCGGTTCCCAGGGGGGTCGCCTAAGACCACCTGAAAACACATATCCTTACAGCTCTGAAGCAGCAACGAAAATAATTGTGAGGCTGGGGGTCGCCAAGACACGAGAAACTGTATTAAAGGGTCGCGGCACTGGGAAGGTTGAGAAACACTGCTGTATGGTATATGGCAGCTGATTTTTTGCGCTGGAGAAATACGTTAGATCTCTTGTGTCTAAATGGTTCCATTAAAAAAATGTTGTCTTTTTAAGACTATTAGTATTTATCTACGGGCTGAAAATGAATATGCACATTGCAATCATAAACTTAACTCATATTGAAAATCCAGAATAAACTTGTATAAAACTCAGAAGAAATGCGATCTTTTCTTGTCTTTCCTTACTTAATTTTTTTTCAAAATTATTTGTTTATCCGCCCTCTGAAAGACAAACAATTTTGGTCAGTTGTACACTTGCATTGTTCCCCTTCCATCCCGTAGTGCTAAATCATGTACTGGTTTGGATCAAGGTCACTTCAGCGTCAAATCAGGTGAGTCTTTGATTACTTGTCAACATTTTAAATTTCATGTTTAGAATTGGCTAACATGAGGATCTTCAGACATATTTACTGAGCAACTTCACTATATTTTGCAAGACAAATAATGTTCGATTTCATCACACTTTAATAGAACCGACCACAATGTTGACACAGACATGTCCATTATGGCTGTTGTTTCCTCTACCAACACGCGGACTAGGGTGAACTCGGAGAACATATTGATCAACACCCATGGCGGGGGGGGGGGACCTGAAATGTACATGGCATGAATGTCATGTTTTCCTTCAATTGCTAAGTCTTTTCTCCACCTCTACTTTTGCAACCAATCGCGGGTGTACTCCATTTCCAGTCTTATTCATCACACTTTAATAGAACCGACCACAATGTGGACACAGACATGTCCATTATGGCTGTTGTTTCCTCTACCAACACGCGGACTAGGGTGAACTCGGAGAACATATTGATCAACACCCATGGCGGGGGGGGGGGACCCTGAATGTACATGGCATGAATGTCATGTTTTCCTTCAATTGCTAAGTCTTTTCTCCACCTCTACTTTTGCAACCAATCGCGGGTGTACTCCATTTCCAGTCTTCTCCCCTGCACCCCCATACCATAAGCGAATATTACTTCCCTTACTAACTCAGTATTTACTACCTTCCTCATGTTGATCTCTCAGATACTACAATTAATCTAAGTTGAATTGTTGTTGGTGTTGTTTTTTGTTGTTTTTTCTTTGTTACTCTTTGTTTGTACTAATCGCTGACGAAGACATCTTGCCGAAACGTTTATTGTTTCGTTGTGTCCTTTTCCCAGAGTATCCCATACCTTGTATTATTTCTCTCCTTTGAAAAGCTATTTTGTCATATATAACCTTACACATGTAAGTCATTAGCCAGCCTGGTCAATCTAGGGGATGGTTGTTTGGAGCACTTAAAGTTCCGAGGCCATGCATTGGATAAAAAAACAACAAAAAACATCACAATGTTATTTTTTAACTGACAAGTAAAGTTTAAAAGCAAAATCAATACATTTTTTTGTAGCTAACAGTGTTTCTTTTAGATAATTTCCTCCGCGGGATGGAGGGTTTCAGATTTTCAGATGCTAGAAATAAAAGCGCAAAGTATTAAAATATTAAACAATGAAATTTAAGAACTACCCTATTGAGTGCTGAAAACATTCCTTTGCACCAGTCGCACCCGGTGGAAAGATATTAAACAGTTTTTTTCAGTTTATTTTTAAACCTACCTTTCAAGCTCAAATTGTAGCACTCAATATGTCTTTGAAATGTAAAATGAGACTTGTCATTGAAAGCGTTATCCAAAATCGGGAATTGCCTAACTTATTTTTTGAGACCTTCATAATTTTATCTCTGGGATTCGATGATTTAAACAAAAAAATGGGAGAAGGTGGCGGGGGAAGTAACTTACAGCACAGGTATACTTGACAAACGATTTTTTTGAGAGATTGCCTAACCTTTATTTATGCAAAGGCCATTCACAGATTTGCTTCCAGGGATAAATAATAACCTATTGAATTTTCAAAATTTTTAATATAAAATTTGAAATCGTTTATAATCTATGGCCAAGACAGAGTACTTGTTAAATCAACATACGTTTATTCTTCAAAATATTGTAATGTCTAAACAGTATTTTTTTTCATTAATGAAAAATGTAGTCACATTTCTTAAACGTACTTAATTGCAGTTGAAGTATTCGAAATTAAGGCCAGAAATTTTCTCCCCTGAAAAGTATCGTTCCAAATCTGAGAAAACAATAAGATTATTTTTTTTCCTGGTTCTTCTTTTTTCTTCTTTTTTGGTATCTTTAAAAATCTCTTGCAGAAATATAAATTTCATAAACAGTTTGCTCTGTGTAAACCAATAATAAATAGAAGAGACAATTAAAGAAAATTGAAATAAAAAAAGTGAAGAAACTATCATTTAAATTCACTGTGCGAACATTAACAGGTGTTTGTGTTACCATTATTGTTATTTTGAATGCTGAACAAATCGGAAATTGTAATATTTCTTTAATGTCTCTGGGATAAATGACGCTATTTTTATTTTGGAAATACCGAAAACGATAACGGCCAAAAAAAAAAAAAAAAGTTTCTTGGAGCGTTGTATTTTTGAAAAAAATAGAATTTTCTTAAACTTTACATATTACTAATATCCCCCCCCCCCAATCCAAAGAGAGCATAGATAACACAGGTGGGTGTGCATCGCAAAATGTCAGATCCCTTTCGTTTTTTTTAAAAATCCCAGGCATCTTGATACTTGCATGAGAGCAATTCTATGTCATCAGCGAGAGCTAAGTCCTCACTCTCGGAGTTCGGTGCCCATTGCATTCCTTACCCCTGTGTGTATTTTGCAATCATTCAGAAAATCCACCACTGCACAGCTCCGTTCTCATCTTAAAAAAGGTAACTGAATAATGTTGCTTGAATAATATATCCTGGAGACCTCTGCTTTCAGAGTAAGTTAAAAGGGGTTGGCGTATCACGCTAGTGTTGGAGAATATTCATAAGTGACTCCCGGTGCAGGCTTTCAAATCTTTTTCTCGAAGTTGACGGACGTAATATTTAAACCATAGAGCTGCATGCCAATCACGAGTCAAGGGGAATAATCTGTGATTAACGCAGGACCTCTCCTTCCGTCAGAGGACCTGGCTGTTGACCAGTGCTTTTGTGATTTGTAAACGAAAGGAGCGCGTTGGCTCGCATTTGTTGAGATCTAATATTTAAAAAAAAAAAATAACGCGCAGGGTTCATTTATTACAATTATTTTCGTTTTTAATCTACGATACGTTAGCATAACATCATAACTGAAATACCCACTGCGGCCCTTCTCGGGAAAAAAATGTACACAAGATAGTAAAACACATTTTTGAATTCCCAGAATGACAAAATCGGATTCAGCCATTCTGTCGCACTATATATTGTTTTAGATCATAATTTTTTTTCTCGTTACGTTAGAGCTTATTATTTCTTCGTGTTTTAAAAAGTACAGTTATATTTTTAATATTGAGTTTTGCCCCCAAAACAGACGTGCTCAAGAAAACCCTTGAAAGTAAGAAACTATTACTATAAAGTAAGAAACTATTACTATTAAGTAAGAAACTATTACTATAAAGTAAGAAACTATTACTATAAAGTAAGAAACCATTACTATAAAGTAAGAAACTATTACTATAAAGTAAGAAATTATTACTATATAGTAAGAAACTATTGACATTAGTTTTTCCGCTTGATAAATCTTTATTGTATTAAATACTGGAATAACTGTAAATATTTTATGAAGGATTTTAACTTGCCGGATATATTTATGTTTGCGCGATGGTGAGAAATGAATAATTTGTTCACTAACAATTATGATGAAAACTTATTGCTTGAGCTACGTCCACGAAGTCAACAGGAATAAAAATCCCTTCCATGCCCTGGGGAGCGGGGGAATTAGAGCCCTATTCTGTACTAAAAGTGTACATTAGGAAACGGGAAAGCCTGCAACAGGAAGGCTGGACGCTTGCACCTTCGAGAAATAGAGACAATACTGTTCAGTTTCTCGTACCCGAGTTTCCGATGTGAACAATCATGTGATATATCATGTGATATTTTCTTTCATTTAAAAATTTACACTCTTCCTAAGATTTGGATTAGTATATTTCTATTTCTTTGTGCAACATTTTTATTTAGTTTTTCCAAAGAGAAGTTCTGCATATTTTTAAGGTTATTTATAAAACATGTTTTTGATTGATCTTCTTATTCGTGTAGAGATACAATTTCCAATATTGTTGCCTTTTCTAAAAAATATGTATGTTATTTGTTATATTTATTATACTCATGTTTTTACATGACAGTGAGACTGTGATCAGTGTTTCTTTTAGAAATTTTCCACCGAGGGGGCATTTCAGATTTTCGGGGTGGGGGTGGGGGTGGGGGGCTATGCCAGTTGCAAAGGCGTATCTAAGGGGGGACAGCTGGGACATACTCCCGGGGCGCCAGGCTTGTGGGGGGGGGGCGCAAATGGGCTTTGGTGGAATTAATTGGTTGAAAATAATCGAGAGGGGGCATTTCAGATTTTCGGGGTGGGGGTGGGGGGCTATGCCAGTGGCAAAGGCGTATCTAAGGGGGGACAGCTGGGACATACTCCCGGGGCGCCAGGCTTGTGGGGGGGGGGCACAAATGGGCTTTGGTGGAATTAATTGGTTGAAAATAATCGGTTTCAGAGTTGGAGGGGGACGTAAAAATGAATCTTGCCCCCTGACGCCAACCACTGTAGATATGACCTTGCTAGTGACTTCGAAATAGGGCGGATGGAGTGGTCCACCCAGGTGTCACTTTTTCTTTATAGGCTGGTGTGGCATTTTTTGGACAACTGCTGGGTTTGAATAGTGATAGAGAGGACGGCAAAAATATTTGGCCGCTCATAGCAGCCTTAATAGTAGTAGTAGCTACGCCACTAGACAGTAGATCTATCGATACCAATTCGGCGATCATTTTTATCTAGCATTAGGGTGACAATTGATGGCGCCGATGAATCTTGATCGGTGGAGGGGTTTTGGGGAGCTTGCGCCCCAGAAAATGTTTGATTATTTTTAAATCCAGAGGATTATTTTGAGTATACTTGAATTGGATGTTTTTATTCTACCTTTTGAACAGGGAAGAACATTGTTAAGGTTTCTGGGAGGCATTATTTAGCCTAGTGCCATTTATAAACTGAATTCACTCCGTTTATGGTACGCCCCAAGGTAATCATTAGGGAAAGGCTTATAATCAACCCCATAGTGTACCATCGAAAAGCATGAGTGAAGGGGTCCATAATTAAGGGTGTTAAAGACACTCGTACAAACTCAAAATGTAGGGGCATTATTTTGCGCATACTTGAATTTGTTGTCCTTTCATACAATTTTGAGGTGGCATTTCAAATGTTCGAGTGGGAAATGACAAAATTAACCATAATAATTACCAAAGACATCTTAAACTCCTCACCAGTGGGACGTAAACTACATTCACTCTAGTTATGTCACCCTTGAGTGTACGATTTTGCCCTAAATTATTCTCGCCCTTTAAATCAATATAATCCTCAGAAAATTATTGATAAATTTAAAAGACAAAAATGCATTATTCACATATCTGAATTTAGTTTTGAAACATTCCACATTTAATTGGAGAGCAATGAAACATATCCTATTTAAAAATATAGGTGCCACTTAACCTTAGAACCATCGTGTGCACCCAGTAACCTCTACGACTGAAGGGTGCCTCGGATATTTTAGGGGGCTTAAAGATGTGATGAGGATATTTTCTTAATTATCATCTTTCCATGCAGGGTTGTCAAAACGGAAATAGCGTGACCTCTGACCTGCTTATGTTAGGCGAAAACAAAAACAAAATTAAAATATTTTATTTAACTAAAAATAGTAATGTGGCTTTTTAAATTTACATTATTAATTAATGAATGAATTTTCAAAAAACAAAATTCAATTAAAAATGGTTCAATGACTAAAAAGCACTGCAAACATTATTTTATATGATGAATGCAAATGGAAAAAAACAAACTTACATATAATTATAATGCTTAGACTAACTTTTCTAAATATGTCCTAGTTTTACCAGAGTCAAAAAAAAAAAAAAAAAAAAATGTCCTAGTTTTACCAGAGTCAAAAAAAAACAAAAAAAAAAAAAAAAACAGGTTTATTAGAAAGGTATATATATTAGTATGGGTTTTGAAAACTGGTCATTTTTATAAATTGCATATGAGTGGCATAACTATTTTAAGAAGACATGAGTTGTTTACAGAAGACATTATATTTAGTAATGTGTGATTTTATCTAAGGGAAATTCGTATGCAAATAAAGTAGCCTATAAATTTTCAAATATTCGGTAGATTGACATTTTATTTGGAATTTCAAACTACTATAACCTTCTTAAAATGCCTCTTCGCTATAATTTAAGACATTTTTATCTAAATCCACAAAATCTATTTTAAATTGTCGAATTAGGAATAAGAATTTTTTTAAACACGTACAAAAATAAAATGAATTTGCATGATAATCGAAATGCTAGTTTACAAAAAAAGAAATTCTTCGCTTTCTACTAGATTCTCATCTAAATCAAAATTAATAATCTAATAAAATGAGTGCAATGCCAAAGGATGGAGCACTTTGTTATTCCGACATTAAAAAGAGAAAAGCAGTTGGGAAATTAATAATAATAAATATAGGCTAACGGCTAAGTATTAAAAAACAAATCTGTTATTCAGGAAACTTTGTAAAAAGGGTAGCACATTTAAAGAAAACAAAAATACTTTTGATTTAATAGTAATTTATGAAACGGGCAATATTTTTTTGCGCCCTTTAAATTCTAAGTTAGAAAAAAAGCATAACGCCTAATTTTTAGTCATGCTTTTACGATGAACAATAATTTGAAAACAGATAGCACATGTTAAATACTAGACTAACTATTATTAAAATTGTATACCTTTATAGGTATATAAATGTATTTTGATATAGTGTCATTAAAGTCTTTAAACTTGTGGTGTTGCAAAAAATAAATCCATAGAAATAGCGACATATGCGAACAACAGGAAGTGAGACTGGAGCGATTTTTATTACCGAATACTATAACTTGATTAGTCTTAAAAATATACGGATCATCAAATATATCGAGCCTTGCGATATTTCATAGATTCCACTAATTGTAATGAGTTAAAGGCACCAGTTACTATGCAATTGTCACTTTTAATATAAAAAATATTTTTGTTATATTATTGTACACATTGTGCTCCGGCCCGGAAAGGGGGGGGGGGCAGGCAGTGCCCTCCCGGAAAGATACCTAAAAGAAACACTAATTGCTAACAATAACCATATTTTTGAAAGCATGATGCCATCATTAGTAACTAACACCATTCCCTAGTTTTATTCAAGCTTTTATATGTAAAATATAATTTGAAAACATGAAAAGATTGCTCACGTTTGATACTTAGTGAGAACTCTATTAAATTATAGACCTTAAAATTGAAGCCAATGTAGTTTAATACAGTGAGTTTGCAAAAATAATTAAACAAAAAATACATATAAATACGAACGGGAAGTAATACTCCAAATCATAATCGGGCCAAATTTTCTAAATATTGCGATATTTATAATCGAATAACGTAAGCTTCTAAGAAAATTAGCTTAGCTACACGGATCATTCAATATATCGAGCGTAGTGATATTTCATAGATTCCCCTAAGTGTAATCGGTTGATGACACCAGCTACTTTTTTAAACATTGTTTTTAAAAAATGACAATTTGGTAATTTTTAAATAAAATATACTTTGTTTTATTGTTGTATATATTTTTGCTCGGGGGGCACTTGACATTCCCCGGGGGGTCACTGCCCCCCCCCCTTCCGGAGATATAGCTGAAAGAAACCCTGACTGTGATGAAATGTAATGATTTGAAGTGCCATATATTATTTTCCCCAGATGGAGACAGTGTTCTTTGCCTGGTGCAGCTGACTTTGCAGAGGAAACATTAATTCAACTCAAGTATTGTCAAAAAGAATAATGGATACAAGTTTAATAGCTCTGGATGTAAGTTGGAACATTGTATTTCAGCTCATTAGACCAGTGATCCCCAAACACCGGGCCGCGGACCGGTACCGGTCCGTGGATCAAATGGGATCGGGCCGCCCAAGAAACATTAAATTATTTCCATTTTATAAGCTTGCCAGATTTTCTAAATGATAAGTACGGATGTACGGACACAGAGGCTCACAGCAACTGGAACAATACAGGCGGTTGGGGTGGGGGTGGTGTTGTTGTGCTTGATTTTTTTTTGTGGGTGGGGGGGGGGGGACACTCCCCCAAAACTGGTACATCCAAGTAGCTTTTAGCCCATATCCATAAAAAAACATCAAACAATTTAATGGCTAATTGTGACGCCACGGGATAAATATATTTTTTTTAAAAATTGAGTCGCCTGTTTATACAGCTGACAGTTTGGCCAGCCCAGTGGTCCCCATATTATGCTTCGCTCTGGGTGCCATGTTGCCCGCAGGCAGAGCCATGAGAATAGGGCAAAGAGGGCAGTCACAGCGGGCACCAAATTCTTCTTTATATGGTATCTTAATAGTGAATTAAAATATCAATGGCGGAATACCCTGAGATTGCCACCACAGCACTTAAATCCCTATTGCCATTTCCGACATCCTATCTGTGTGAAGCGGGGTTTTCTGCAGTTACAGCAACCAACCCAAAACAACGGAATAAAGTGGAAATAATCAACACACTTCGGGAGTCATTGTCTCCTATTACCCCAAGATGGAACCATCTCGTTGCAGAAAAATAAGCTCATGATTCTCATTAATTTAGCGATAAAGTTAGTTAAAATGATAAAACAGTTTATATTCTTTTTTGATGTAATTGTATTTTATTTTGAAGCCATGCTACAATTAAATAAAAATTACCAATCCAAACAATCCAAAACATAAACAATCAACACCCCCAACCCCTCGGCGGGCCGCGGTAAAATTATCAAACGTTGACCGGTTCGCAGCGATAAAAGGTTTGGGGACCACTGCACTTGACTATACTAATTATTATTTAAGTTTATAAACTTGCTGGTATTTATGCCTTAGCTAAAAAGTAAAATCGCCTTATAAAGTTGCGTAGCTAGGTGTAGTCCAGCACTAGCGATACAATGTATTGTGTGTTTGTAGTGCGAAGATATATTTAGTAGGTTTGAAATAACTGAAGTCCATGACTTTTAAATTTGAATACGGAATTTTAAAAAGGGTTCTTTAAAATTTAAGTCCGTTTAAACCATCTGGTTATGTTTCGTACTATCTCGATCCCACTTAGGGCATTTTATCACATTGTTCAATCTCTGGACAGCGCAACAGTCAGACAGATAAAAGCGTTACAGACAGGTAAAAGCGTTACAGACAGACAGGTGAAAGCGTTACAGACAGACAAGTAAAAGTGTTACAGACAGACAGGTGAAAGCGCTACAGACAGACAGGCGAAAGCGTTATAGACAAGTAAAAGTGTTACAGACAGACAGGTAAAAGCGTTACAGACAGACAGGGAAAAGCGTTACAGACAGACAAGTAAAAGTGTTACAGACAGGTAAAGCGTTACAGACAGACAGGTAAAAGCGTTACAGACAGACAGGTAAAAGTGTTACAGACAGACAAGTAAAGGCGTTACAGACAGACAGGTAAAAGCGTTACAGACAGACAGGCGAAAGCGTTACAGACAGACAGGTTAAAGCGTTACAGACAGACAGGTAAAAGCGTTACAGACAGACAAAGTAAGAGCGTTACAGACAGACAGTTCAATATGATGGTTCTTGTATCAAGTGTTTACCAAAATGAGCATTGCGGTACCAATGAGAGTCACGGTTTCCTCGGCGAGGTGCTGCATAATATCACAACAGTTTCATAATGTTACTTTCAATTCAGTGGGATATGATGCAGCATCTAGGGGACCTGGAGCAAACAAGTAAATCTGTTAGTTGTAATTTTTTTTTTTTTTGGCAGAAGCCCCTACAAACGATTACTATGGTAAATGGATATTTCGAAGTGTTCTTTTTAGAATGTGACATAGGGGACCTTTAGAAAACCTGCATTCATCAATGTGATATACGGCTCCTTAAGAAAACCTACATTCAGCAATGTGACATAGACCATATTTCGAAAACCTTCATTCAGCAATGTGACATGGGGCACCTCCTGAAAACCCGTATGCAACAGCGGGAAATAGGACACCTATAGAAAACCCGTAAAGACGCCTAAAAGCGATGAGAAAAATGTAAACAACTTGGCCACACGACAAATAACAATAACCATTAAAAATTTTTTGCTGTCAAAAATCAATGTCATCATTTTATTTTAGTTTCATAGTGATGGCAAATACAATGGTCATAATACAATTATACCCAAGAAAAATATTCATTATAAACGCGTGTCTTTGCTCAGAAACAAGGAATGAGACCATTAAAGTGTAGCTGGCCTTTTCATTTTATTTTACAGAACATTCCTACCTCGTACAGCGAGGAGCTGATGACCGAATATGTAGAAAATACTTTAGGAGTTGACGTCCAGTCTGCTAAGATTATAGGAGGATTGGCTCTGTTTTCGTTGGAGCAAGACATAGACGGTAGGCCTACAGCTCAGCGATGTGGCAGTGTCAAAAATCTTTAACGATCTTGTAAAAAAAAAAACCGTTAAAGGTTTTGTCAGATGGTCCCCGTTGTTGAATAATGGTGTAAACTATTTAGAGATAATTGTGTAGAAAAAAAACTGCTTGCCATTCTTAACGTAGAACATGAAGATGGTGCTCTCAAAACAGGTGTTGTTCGCTCATATTCGGTGGCAAAGACGACATTTATATAACTACTATAATGCAGTTTGAAGTGTTTTTCTTTTTTAAATCCTTTATATCAACTTTGCTTTCGTTCGTGTGTTTGTTGAAGGCAAAATCTTCGGACTGCTAATTGACCTACTTCCCGTTATCCTATCGAGCTGAAACTTGGTACATAGACTTGCTGCCGATAACAATTTATTCTTTTTTAAATTTGCAGCCTGACCCCTAAAGACCAGTTGTAACGCTACCAGATGCCACTGATTTTACGAAATAAATTAGAATATTTTTTCTTTTTAAAATATCGTAAGAGAGAAACGTAAAATTTTCTTTTGTTTTACGGAAATAGTTTGTTTATTTTTAATAAATCTCCTTGGGACACTAGCATAAAATATTTCAGGGCATGAAAAAATATGCAGTTGTGAGCCATGGGGGAGACCACTAAATGAGATTCTTATAAAGTGAGATAGGCCTACGTGAATGCATGTTTTGTCAAATTTTCAGCCCTACCACCCATTGCTTGAATTTACATCTTATAAAGGATCTATATGGAAAATAAATTGTTTTAAGATGTTTTTTAATCACCTTTCTCGCTTACTATTTAAAGTTTAAGGAAGTGAAAAATCATAAACAACATGCTTTTTTTATATATTTGCCGTGATCTTCATACCCTACAGAGATGATTTTTTGTTACATTACAGATACTGATTTAAATATTAAATGTTAAGCGCAGTTATTAATCAGTCTAATTATAATCTTATCTCTTTTAGTATGTTTTCATCTAAGATTTCTATCAGTTTTATTGTCGCATATACAGTCAACATTATTTTGCGTTTAAAATGAAGTAAATTAAAATGTGAAGTGCTTATTTAACCTACACTGCATAATCTATAAATAGGCTATTCATAAAGACTCCCATTTATTAATTACACATTCTAAAGTCTTATCTAGTTTTGCTAAGTTTTTGTCTTTCTCAAATCTACCATGAATGCCTGGTGAAATAGAACACTGAAACACAACACGCTAATAATTTATATTTCAGATTTCAAGGCAGCCAAAAAAAAGGTGAAAAAAGCATCACTCGAAGGTCGAACCATTCACCTGTTGCAAATTGTAAACACTGATCCAAACGCTGTTGTGATTTATGCTAACAAACCTGACCTTCTAGACAAAACTTCTATGAAAACGTACATTGTGCGACAATTTAAAACCAGAAAAGACTTCATATCAGAATACAGAGTCTGGCAGAAATATGAACTGGGAATCATTCATTTCAAGCCTGGATATGAGAAATGTAATGATTAGTCAGTACATTGCTTTAGTAACTTAATTTCTTGTTTTTTTCCTTTATTTTATCAAACCCATACATTAAATTGTTCTTTGTTGGCGATATACCATTGTAGAAAGTATACAGCTAGTATTCACATTTGTGTAAACATTATAGTTTTGTTGAAAAATGAATTAGCTTCTTCATTTTTTTTTATACTTTCCTATTTTATCCGACAGCTTTAACTTAACTGAAATCACTTCAGCTGTTTTTGTATAGACTAAGATTTAAAATCCATGTTAATTGGGACACTGGTTTCCCATTTATGTGTTTGAGGGTTTTTTTTTACTACAGTTCTGCCTTATCCAACATTCCAATAAAATCTATCCGAAGTTGCTTAATGAGCCATTCCAATCAGCTATTCACGCAAAGCTAGGGACGACAACAGGATGCATTTGAACTCGCAGGCAACGTTACCATGGTATGGAGAGCCAAACAAAATGAATTGAGTTTCTTATTATTGCAAATACAAGTTTATCAAATGGAAAATCCGCGCACAACAATGTAATTATTTTAGAAAAAAAATCAATTTTTAGAACGATGGAACTTGGTGGCTTACTTTTACAGAATAAAAAAAAATACGAATTTAACGTTACATTCTATTTAATGAAAGAATTTAGAAAGAGAATTAAATCGATTAGTTCAGTGAAGAACTGATTAATTCTGGGATTTTTTAAAATATTTCTTTTTTTTTTTTTTTTTTTTTTTTTTTGGGGTGTCTGGGTGGTGAGATGATTGCAATAAGTAAAATATTTAAGTATTTATATTTAAGCAATCCCACATTTCGAAATACTATCTTGGAAGATTAATCACCTCCTCTTCGATTAGGTACTAGATCCTCGCATCGATTAATTACATTTTATTATCAAATTAACATATAAAATTAACAAACAACTTTTTATTTCTATTAAGTAAAAACAACATAATAATACTAATAAGTATAATCTTTGTCAGTGCAGATTTACATTTAACTTACACAAACTTAAATATTTTGTCTTGAACTGTTGTGACAATTTTCGTCTATTCGGATTATGGATTAACTTTTTTATTTAAAAAATAAAACAATTAAACATGGATATTTATCTTTTTAAAAATTATTTCTGTATATTTAGAAAGTTAGATTTTTCCATTTAATTAGTAGAAAACGTCACATTTATGATTTAAAAAAAAAAAAAAAAAAAAAAAAAAAAAAATTATTATTAATCAACTCATTGTTATAGTGTGTTAATGAGAATGCAAATCTTTTTGTGTATAAAATGACATAAATATTTTTTTTCAGTGGTCAGAAAATTAAAAGAAAAACACAACCCAGTGCGTGGTGCTACAGTCATTGTTCAACCCTATTACTACAACTTCCACGATTTGGTGGAAAAGCGATTACCCTCCGATGAAGGTGTTCAATTAAAAATGCCTTCACGCGAAAAAAACGCATCTGAGTTTAAAGAAGAGGACTCTAGTGAGAGTGACTCGGGATCAGATGACAGTAGGGAAAACAGAAGTCATAGAACACGTGAAGTTGAACAAGAATCGGATGAGGATAGTGAAGACCAGTGTGAAAGAGAAAGTGACAGTGAACAAGGATCGGATGAGAGTGCCAGCAGCGAAGATCAGAGAAGTAAAAATACTGCCCGGCATAAAGGCAATTTTTCAGATGTAACGGGAAGTGATGGAAATAACTCATATACAGAGTCTGAGGATGACAGCGATGAGAAAAACAAGGGCAAACAAGATGGCAAAGTTAGTATATGGAGGGGCAAAAAGAAACCAGATGGCGATGACATCACAGGTGACCAAGGTAAATTAGTTAAAGAGCAACACGGAAATAATTACAAACAGGCAAATTCTAAAGATGAATCATTGGACACACCTTTTAAGAGAAATGAAGTTGATTCTATATGTTCTGAAACAAAAAGCTTCCCAGCGGAAAATAAAGAACTGGCAATAAATGAAGCCCAATATCTGCTTTTGAAGAAACACTTTGGTACATTCGATAACTGTAAAGTTGAATTCATAAAATCTGACAAAAAGGCGGTCTTTAAAGGTGGTAAAAATGAAATTGATGACCGCTATTTTAATATGTTTTTAGAATATAAAGACATCGACAAAAAGCAAATGAATTTACTGGGATGTTTGCCTCAGTTACTCACAGAAGATAAGGGCAAAGCTTTTTTAAAAGGTCTTAGTGAAATGGAAAGTGTAGCATATTGCGTTGATAATGATCAGCTGCTACTCGCTTCAAAAAATTTTAACTCATTGAACAAGGCCGCCAAAAAGCTTAGGGAAGTTTTAAATTATAAAAATACGCTCAAACTAACCACTGGAAAGATACCAGATGGTGAATTGAATAATTTGAAGACAAATTTAGAGAAAGAATTATTAGTTAAAGTGTCATGGAGCGTTAACCAGGATGAGATATTTGTTGAAGGGGTCAAAGACGATGTACTTCTATCAGAAAAGGACATAAGTGGATTAGTTGAAAAATTTAGCGAAGATACTAAAACGTTCGTTATAAGCAGTAATGCTGCCAATTATTTACTTAGGCACCCATCAAATAAAATTAAAGTAATATTTCAAAACGTCAAAGACTGGAAGTTTAATGAGGGCGATGAAAATGATCCAATGACCTACACATTTTGTGGCCAACGTAGCGCAGTTAAGGAAGCAGAGTGCTCGCTGCAGTCACTTGTTGATAACATTGTGACTCGGAAAATAGATTTACAAAAGGAATGCTCCAGTCTCTCAGATATTAAGCTCATAATGCTAGGACTTGGAACTGAAGAAATGAAAAGCAAACTTGAGAAATTTGAAAAACGAGAAAGATGTTTTCTCAAAATTCAGCTGCCAGACGAGACTGGTTTTAAAGAAAAGTATGAAATCTCTCAAAGTAAACCTGATATTTTTACTGTGGAAGGATCATGCAGAATTCAACTAAAAAAAGGAGATATCATAACTGAAACATCTGACGTGCTTGTCTGTGTCTTTGATAAATCTTTCAATTTAAAGAAGACGCAGGTGGGAAAGGCTTTTTCTAACGCATGTCCTCAGCTAAATGAGCAATTTCAAACACTCCAGAATGGAAACCCTTCGTCTCTTGTTCACGTCGTAAATGGACCCTTTCCGCCCCCTTTGTTGACTTGTAAGGCTGTATTTGGCGTAGTTTTAAGTGTTTGGGATGAATCTTATTCCCCAGGTTTATTACAAAATATAATAACCAATGTACTGGATGAGGCCGTGGCAATGGGAGCCAAGTCTGTCTCACTTCCTACTTTGGGCCATGGGAGAATGTTCAAATTTCCATCAACAAGTATCTCTCAGATAATGATGAACACTCTGCATTCATATCTAATATCAAACCAAGCGCCGAGTGATGTCATTATTATGACCACTGACCAAGAAATGCTTGACACACTTAAATTGGTTGCACACCAGAGCCCGATGGATTATTTGTCAAACTCTGGTGATATTATTTCCAACAGTGACGATGAGAGCACTTACGAGACAGATGAGAAAGTTCTACAAGATTTGTTGACAACCGGTGACATAGAAATTTCTGTGACCATGGCCAAATTAGATGAACCCCAAAAAACACTTGAAAAATTGACTGACCTTATCAGAAGAAGTTGTTTGCATAGTGTGCAGTTTGAACACACGATGTTGTCATTCTTGGCACAAAAGATTGAAAAAAAGACTCGGTATCAGTTTATACATATTCAGAAATTTGCAGTGGCAGAAACTGGTAAAATAAAAATGATATTTAAAGGGTTTGAGAAACATGTTCAAGAAATAGAAAAGTTCATCACAAACGAGTTGAGTAAAATTCAAGCTGCTATGAAAAATAAAATTCTGGCATCAGGCGATTCCCCGACTCGGGGCACTGTCGATTTTTTGATGTATGCATCAAACGTAACAGAGATCTGCCCATCTTATTGGGGATTTTGTAAAAAACCAAATTATTTTTGGCGCCTTCTAGGAACAGTTCTTCGGTATGCATTACCAAGTAAAGAAAAAAAGCACGAGATAACTGTAGCTGTGGACAAGACAACAAGAAAGGCGATTGTTGATCTATTTGAAAAAACTTGGGATGCAACAAATACAGGCATCGGAAATGATGCCAAAGGCTTGTCAAGGAATACAAGCTGCGAGGTGTTGAATGTTGAGAGGATTGAGAACCCTGCTCTTTTTGAGCTCTATGCACAGACACGAAAAAATTTATTTGAGAAATATTGTAGGTTAGGGACGCTGTGTGATGATTTCAGTCGAACTTTACCAAGGGGACAGATCAAAACCACTGAGATACTTCCAAGCTCTTTAAGAGAGCAACTGTATCATGAAGTCAATGAACATTATTTATTTCATGGCACAAAAAAAGCCCTAACTGATGCTTTGTGTCAACATGGCCCTGACCCTAAACTCTGCACACACGCAATGCTTGGTGCTGGTCTGTACTTCGCAGAAGCATCAATGAAGTCTGATCAGTATGCAGGTAACCATTTCAATTTAAAAATGTGAATCGTTTTTTTATTGCTTTGAAAATAGGGAAATAAACCTTTCTACGGCCACTTACCGAAATATTGGAATAATTCATAATAAGTACTACTGGTTACTAAATGCATCTAAGGACGTATAAAGTTTAAAAAAGTGGATCTCTATGTTGTTTTATCGTTATCACAGATGAAAGGGACAACCGGACCCCTTCGGGAGAGGAACTGAAAATCTTTCTGATGCGAGTGTTGCTTGGAAACACCTACATCATCACTAGGGATCACCAAAGATTTAAGAAAGGTGCAAAAATTAAACATTAAAATAATTCATTATTTTTAATTCTTCAGTTTTAAAAAATAACTTAGTTTAATCAATTATTTGTAACACAATCCCTACTGCACGGGGTTAGATAGTAGCAGCATCCGATACTTGATATTTTCATTTCTTCTTTAAAATCTATAAGGACTATGTATTGGAGCAGGTTAACTAATTGTTGTATGTAACACACTAAGTGTATAGTATTAATTGAGGGATGTAGGAAAGTTAAGTAATCCAGTTATGTTCCTTTGTGTAGTCCTGTCATTTTTTTTAGAACCTTGATACCTTGAAATTATCGAGGGCATCGACTTTAATTTACCAAAACACTAAATTTTGGTGCCTTCCGCCACCTGCCTCCATTAAATGTATATCTAACTCAAAATTCAAAATATCAAAAAATAATAACGTTGAAATAAAATATCAATTCTTCTGTTTTATATTTAATGTTGTTAACGCCCATTTACCAGTATTTATTTTTGTTAAAGTTTTCAAATTCATTTCAGTGAATGGTATCTCATCATTGTAGTGTTAGTTATGTGAATGGTATCTCATCATAGTAGTGTTAGTTATGTGAATGGCATCTCTCATTGTAGTGTTAGTTATGTGAATAGTATCTCTCATTGTAGTGTTAGTTATGTGAATGGTATCTCATCATAGTAGTGTTAGTTATGTGAATGGCATCTCTCATTGTAGTGTTAGTTATGTGAATAGTATCTCTAATTGTAGTGTTAGTTATGTGAATGGTATCTCATCATAGTAGTGTTAGTTATGTGAATGGCATCTCTAATTGTAGTGTTAGTTATGTGAATGGTATCTCTCATTGTAGTGTTAGTTATGTGAATGGTATCTCATAATTGTAGTGTTAGTTATGTGAATGGTATCTCTCATTGTAGTGTTAGTTATGTGAATGGTATCTCATCATTGTAGTGTTAGTTATGTGAATGGCATCTCTCATTGTAGTGTTAGTTATGTGAATGGTATCTCTCATTGTAGTGTTAGTTATGTGAATGGTATCTAATAATTGTAGAGTTAGTTATGTGAATGGTATCTCATCATTGTAGTGTTAATTATGTGAATGGTATCTCATAAGTGTAGTGTTAGTTATGTGAATAGTATATTATCATTGTAGTGTTAGTTATGTGAATAGTATATTATCATTGTAGTGTTAGTTATGTGAATGGTATCTCATAATTGTAGTGTTAGTTATGTGAATAGTATCTCATCATTTTAGTGTTAATTATGTGAATGGTATCTCTCATTGTAGTGTTAGTTATGTGAATGGTATCTCATCATTGTAGTGTTAGTTATGTGAATGGTATCTCATCATTGTAGTGTTAGTTATATGAATGGTATCTCATCATTGTAGTGTTAATTATGTGAATGGTATCTCATAAGTGTAGTGTTAGTTATGTGAATAGTATATTATCATTGTAGTGTTAGTTATGTGAATAGTATATTATCATTGTAGTGTTAGTTATGTGAATGGTATCTCATCATTATAGTGTTAATTATGTGAATGGTATCTCATCATTGTAGTGTTGGTTATGTGAATGGTATCTCATCATTGTAGTGTTAGTTATGTGAATGGTATCTCATCATTATAGTGTTAGTTATGTGAATGGTATCTCATCATTGTTGTGTTAGTTATGTGAATGGTATCTCATCATTGTAGTGTTAGTTTAGTTAATGGTATCTCATAATTTTAGCGTTAGTTATGTGAATGGTATCTCACTATTGTAGTGTTAGTTATGTGAATGGTATCTCATTATTGTAGTGTTAGTTATGTGAATGGTATCTCATTATTGTAGTGTTAGTTATGTGAATGGTATCTCATTATTGTAGTGCTAGTTATGTGAATGGTATCTCATTATTGTAGTGTTAGTTATGTGAATGGTATCTCATCATTATAGTTTAAGTTTAGTGAATGGTATTGCTTCATTGTAGTTTTAGTTATGTGGATGGTATCTCATCATTGTAGTTTTAGTTATGTGAATGGTATCTCTTCATTGTAGAGTTAGTTATGTGAATGGTATCTCATTATTGTAGTGTTGGTTATGTGAATGGTATCTCATAATTGTAGTGTTATTTATGTGAATGGTATCTCATAATTGTAGTGTAAGTTTAGTGAAGTGTATCTCATCATTGTAATGTTAGTTATTTGAATGGTATCTCATTATTGTAGTGTTAGTTACGTGAATGGTATCTCATCATTGTAGTGTTAGTTTAGTGAATGGTATCTCATCATTGTAGTGTTAATTTAGTGAATGGTATCTCATAATTGTAGTGTTATTTATGTGAATGGTATCTCATCATTGTAGTGTTAGTTATGTGAATGGTATTTCTCATTTTAGTGTTAGTTTAGTGAACGATATCTCATCATTGTAGTGTTAGTTATGTGAATGGTATCTCATCATTATAGTTTAAGTTTAGTGAATGGTATTGCTTCATTGTAGTTTTAGTTATGTGGATGGTATCTCATCATTGTAGTTTTAGTTATGTGAATGGTATCTCATTATTGTAGTGTTAGTTATGTGAATGGTATCTCATCATTGTAGTGTTAGTTTAGTGAATGGTATCTCATCATTGTAGTGTTAATTTAGTGAATGGTATCTCATCATTGTAGTGTTAGTTATGTGAATGGTATCTCATTATTGTAGTGTTAGTTATGTGAATGGTATCTCATTATTGTAGTGCTAGTTATGTGAATGGTATCTCATTATTGTAGTGTTAGTTATGTGAATGGTATTTTTCATTGTAGTGTTAGTTTAGTGAACGATATCTCATCATTGTAGTGTTAGTTATGTGAATGGTATCTCATCATTATAGTTTAAGTTTAGTGAATGGTATTGCTTCATTGTAGTTTTAGTTATGTGGATGGTATCTCATCATTGTAGTTTTAGTTATGTGAATGGTATCTCTTCATTGTAGAGTTAGTTATGTGAATGGTATCTCATTATTGTAGTGTTGGTTATGTGAATGGTATCTCATAATTGTAGTGTTATTTATGTGAATGGTATCTCATAATTGTAGTGTAAGTTTAGTGAAGTGTATCTCATCATTGTAATGTTAGTTATTTGAATGGTATCTCATTATTGTAGTGTTAGTTACGTGAATGGTATCTCATCATTGTAGTGTTAGTTTAGTGAATGGTATCTCATCATTGTAGTGTTAATTTAGTGAATGGTATCTCATAATTGTAGTGTTATTTATGTGAATGGTATCTCATCATTGTAGTGTTAGTTATGTGAAGTGTATTTCTCATTTTAGTGTTAGTTTAGTGAACGATATCTCATCATTGTAGTGTTGGTTATGTGAATAGTATCTCATAATTGTAATGTTAGTTTATTGAATGGTATCTCATCATTGCAGTGTTAGTTTAGTGAATGTTATCTCATTGTTGTTGAATATCTCTTGACTGTGATCCTACACGATTAAAGTTATCAAGAAGTAAACAAACTGCTGATATTTCCCTTTTGGCCTCAAAAGCATTTATGGACAAATACGTTCTTTATTGTTTTAAAGACTTGCTCTCTACCCCGATTTCCATCTTGTTGTCGTAATTTTGTGTGTACACTTGATAATGAGCTGTAAGTTGGCATCTGAGTTGTGTCAACAGCGCGTCTGCTTCGTTCAGTGACGACGTGAGAAGGAAAAATGATGTATGTAGGAGGAATTACAAGATGGCAGTATGATATTGGAGATTTTAAAAAAAAATAATTTCTAGATAATATTAAAAATAAAAAATATGAAAAGAAGCAGTTGAACAAAATGATAATGAAAACCTTTAAAAAAATACTTTTTATCAAAGACGAGTTTAAATCTCTAAAAAGTAAAGGATAATTTAAAATTTCTTAAAATGCATTTGCAAAGTCTCTGCAGAAAATATTTCCCAAAATTAAAAAACAAATACATATTTAAGATACATAAAGTAAATGATTCAAATTGAATATTACTTTTTCACGTGTTTTTATTGCGTAATGCCTAATTATAATGAATATTAAGTAGGCTTATTCACATTATACATTTTTGTTGGGTTAAAAGAAACAAATATCCATGAAGTCATTCGATAACCCAACTGAAATAATTTAAAAAAAATTTCTTTAACCTTTGTATAGGTGCTGATCGCTTGAAGCGACCCCCATGTGCTCAGTGTGAAAGTGACAGATGTGCCGATGTAAGCCACCAGCATTGTGACTCTGTCACACTTGACGGTTCACCTGGTGACAACAGAGTTTTCTTCAGAGAGTTTGTTGTGTATGACACGAGTCGATGCTACCCAGAGTACATCATAACCTACAAAAGAAAACCATAACAATCTCTGCTGGTTTAAGATTCACTTTAAATTCATGTTATGACGTCTATTTTAAAAATGTCTAAAAATGTACAAAATTATTTTGTTTTTAAATAACATGATTCACCTATTTCTATTTCCTCTAGGGTGTTTGTCATGCACCCTCTTCAATCCTCTGTCATTTGGCATTCCTTCTAAGTGTCCAGCCTAGTCAATGAAATTTTTTTAAGGGTCCGATACTGTGTACAAGGTTCTTAACGTTACAGAAAAGCATTTAATATAATAAAATAAATATATTTACTTCTGTCAGGGTGCGTCGAGTGAGTTCTGGTGCCAAATGTGCCCAAACTTGTATATTAGGATTAGCGCTATTTTATTTCGTTTTTTTAATTAATTGGCCAAATTTGAATGGGTTTTTCTTCCATGTTTTATGTCGTTTTTTATATTATTATTATATTCAAACTAAAAGTTGAATCCTTTAGACCAGGCCTGCACAACATACGGCCCGCCAGCATCCACTTTGCCGGCCGCGAAGTAAAGAAATATTCTTTATTATTATTAGTTTCTTAATATCTTTCTCCCCTGTCTTATTTTCGTTCGGCTCACACTAGTTTTTCATAAAGTATTTCTAGCAAAATTACATCCAAATTTAAAACCTCATTTCCATGAACTTTATTTTCACAAAGTGAAAACGAAAAGTTTTCGTATATATATAACCTAACTTTGTTTTACACCTATGAACTTTAAAGTAAAAATAAAATGGCTCTATCTTTAAGATTTAATTTTCATGTGTGTAAAATTATTTGGTTTGATATGTATATTTGAGGTATGGGTATATCTAAGTAAATGTACCCACAGCTTGTCTACGACCTTGAACTAAATTTTCTTAATAGGTATAACATATATTTATTTTGTTTAAAAGAGAATGTATAACATCATTTTCCCTACTGAAATACCATTGGATTTTAAAATATTGTCATCTACGTAAAAATGCACACACCCTATTCCCTCCCCCTGATATGTGTTTACTAAAGAAGGTTAATTATTTATCAAATTTATTTCTTCATTCTGAGGCCTATCTTGTGCTACCTGTGAGCAAAATGAAATTATCAAATCTAACCCACCCAATTAGGGTTTTTAATTTAAAAAAAGAAAATCAGAGCGGTAGCCCACTTATTGCGCAAAAAAAATATATTTTTTCACGCCCTGAACTTAATTAAAATTCTTAAGTCCAAGATCCCTTTACCAAGTCTTGTTTTTTTTTTTTCCCTATAAAAATAATAATTATACGAATAATTCTGTATACAGAAAGTTATGGTTAATTATTTTGACATAGATATCTATACCAAAGTTCAAATCTGTAACATAATTGGGCTTTGAGATATTGATATCAAAATGAACCAATTGCAACTTCATAGTCATAGGGTTCATTGATTTTTGGATGAGCAGTAAATTCACTAGTGAGAGGTATTACTGGTATTCTCATTCAGCTACCAAGTTTCACGGAACTAAATTGCTTAAACGCCATTTTTTAAATTAAAATTTTGTTTTAAACGTTATGAAGTTTTTATTACTTTATACATTCTATGATAGCACCATTTTCTTGGAATGAAAAATAAGTAAAACGGATTAAATGTTAAAAATACGAAGCTAAAATTTGGTGTCGGGTATTATTAACGGAAGATGCAATCTATTAAAACAAAACTTTATTAAAAAGGGAGCAACAATATCAGTTTTGCCACACGCGGTTATTAACTCAAAGAAATGTAAAACTTTGTGATTTGAAAGTTTAAATTAAGTTATTATAAAATTATTCTAAAATTTCTTTCCTTGAAATTAATCGAAAAACTTTAATTTTATATTGTTTGAAGGCATTTGGATAACCTATATTATTTAAAATTAATTTCCCAATCTTAACAACGCAATTTAAACAAAACAACAGCTGTTTGTTTTTTTCCTGATAAATTTGATTATGAATTAATTGTAATAATAACTTCATGATAATTTATTGATAATAAAACCCCGCTTTTTCTCACTTCAGCGATGTGCTTCTAACTTGTTGGTAACTTTGAAGTAGGCCTATACCTAAATTTTTAATTTCTAAAACACTACTACTACTACTACTATTACATCGTTGGTGTTCCATTTTCATTTAATTTTTTCAAAAACGTTTCCGTTTAAAATTATAAATCTGAAAGTTCCAGCTCAAGTAAGTTTAAGCTAAATGCTACACGTTATTCATTAAGATGGCGTGTCTTATTTAGCAGCTAAACTAAAGCTTGACTTATCCTTTCATTATAATTCAAATAAATCTTTACGTTAACTACAGGGTGGGCCAATAAAAGTGAGAAAATCTCGTAAAATATTACGCTACGAGATGTGATGTTCTCACTTTTATTGGCCCACCATGTACTTTTAAATTTTTAACTAAAAGTTAGCATCACTTCATGAAATTATTTGCCTGTAAATTATTTGTCAATACGTTTATGTTTCCACGCTCGTTGTCGTTAATATCATTAAAATGATGCATTTTATTTGATATACTATTACAGATTAATATATGAAATTGGTTTATTTTATTTTATAACTACTGCTACCGAATATCATGCTAATTCGAGGATTATTTTAAAATATGTTTGACGAAAGTGTTCACCTGAAACCAATTATAACTGTTATCTGTTAAAACTTTTGACTTTGTTTAAACCTCTTCACTCCACCCCCTACCCCGGGTGGCGCTACAGCCCACTTCTTCCTTCCATTCAGACCTAACGGGTGCTTTTCTCTTCCATGCCTATATTCTCAGCTGCTCTAGATCGTTTTCCGCTTCATCCATCCATCTAAGCCTAGACGTGCCTTTGATTGACTTTGGGGGTGTTTCCCTCTGGGGTGTTTGTCACGCACCTTCTTCCCTCCTCTGTCACTTGGCATTCCTCCTAAGTGTCCAGCCTAGTCAATGAATTTTTTAAAAGGGGTTCTTAACGTTGCAGAAAAGCATTTAATATAATAAAAATAAATATTTTTACTTCTGTCAGGGTGCGTCGAGTGAGTTCTGGTGCCAAATGTGCCCAAACTTGTATATTAGGATTAGCGCTATTTTATTTCGTTATTTTAATTAATTGGCAAAATTTGAATGGGTTTTTCTTCCATGTTTTATGTTGTTTTGTTTATTATTATTATAATCAAACTAAAAGTTGAATCCTTTAGACCAGGCCTGCACAACATACGGCCCGCCAGCATCCACTTTGCCGGCCTTGAAGTAAAGAAATATTCTTTATTATTATTATTTTCTTAATATCTTTCTCCCCTGTCTTATTTTCGTTCGGCCCACACAAGTTTTTCATAAAGTATTACGGCCAATATTACATTTTGAGTTGTGCATGCCTGCTTTAGACTAGCGTTCCTAAAATGGTGGTCCCAGAGCCGCCACATCTCCGTGAGCCACACGTTGCCGGGAAGCACAACGTGAATATTTTGATCAAGTAAAGAATTTATTATAAATACACCTGACAACGGTCTCTGGTTCATTTAGGAAACTTGTCCATTGGTTCGTTAAACTTAAACTTTGGAAACGCTGCTTTAGACCACGAGGCTTAGAGAGTCCAACCCCTGTCAGGCCCAATACAATGAACTATCACTATCTTTGGACAATTTATGTTGACTATGTACCCAGAGCCTCAAATGTCTTATTATGAACATCCTTCATCACATAAAAATTAGAATGTAAACACATGATACTTTGTCAAAGTCGTAGTTGCAGTTGGTTTATTATAAGACCAAACAAAACCATGCCTGGTGGGCAACAAAACCCACGGAACGAGAAAATAAAAAATGAAAATATTAAAGAGATTCATTGAGCTTAACTAACAATAAACTGTTTCTTACAATTATATGCATAAAATCACAATGATTGCTTTTAAAAATCTTTGTAAAATTATTCTTAAATGGCTGCTTTTCCCGGGTACTAATTTCTTAAGGTTGTATTTCTCATGTTTTAAAATTTCACAATACATTTTTAACTTAATTTTTGTGCTCCTAAGAAAGCTAATGTATACTTTTTTGTTGTTTTGGTGTATAGGAATGTTCTTACAGCTGTCACATAAGCCTACAATGAGTTTATTTCATGTTACACCCCATGTCATCACATTAGTATAACTCCCAAACACCAAAATTTGATTGAGGAGTATCCCCTTAGATGGAATACTGTTTTGTTTATTCGATCCAGGGTTGCCAACTCAATAAAAATAAAATTTACTGACAGATAAAGAACTTTCAACAAAATTTACGGACAAAACAATTTTTTACGGACACATTTAACAAAAAAATGTTGACCTTAACAAGAACAGCCTAGCTGTCCAGAAAGCTCTTACAGTTTATTAATAGAGCGCGGGATGCCACTAAAACAATTTAAACATTAAAATTTGAATCAAGAAAATAGATATCACAAACATGATTTACTGGGGGTTTTTTAACGTTGAGAGTCCACGTTTAGTCGATTTTTTTTACGGACGTCTTAATTTTTTAACGGAATTTTACGGACAGGCAATTTTACGACAAATCTTTACGGACTGTCCGTAAATTTACGGACGGTTGGCAACCCTGATTCGATCCAACCTCTAAAACAGGAAAAAAAAAAAAAAAAAAAAATTATATTTAGCTGGGTCAGACGAAAAGCTAAATAAACTGATGAGAATGAAGCAAATGCTTTCTGAGTTCCAGTATTTCATAATATAAGAGCGTAGTTATGAGTTAAATTTTTACAGTCTCTTTCCTTTCGTTACACTTTGCTTTAACATGTCACCCACGCCCACATGTTTATAGAAGAAAATGTCCGCATGTGGTGGACCGTCAAACCTTTCTAATGCCACTGTTTTCTAGTAGTTTATGCATACTTTATATCTGTAAATGTGCGTAGGCTTATTATGAATTCTCATTTTTTTATCAGAGCGCATAAGGTTATAAAAAAACAACCTATTACTTATATTAAAATATTTGTATGTTTGCCTTATTTCGTTCGAGGCAAAAGTCATTACATTTTTTAACTCTTCAACTGACTAAAATTTTCACACTTACTTTGTGTTATTTACCTATAATGAAGTATTCCATCTAATATGTTAAAAAATATGGAAATTAAATAAATAATGTTTATTTTAATGTAGTGATGAAGGCATTTTTCGATACGTTTGAATAAGCACATTTAGTTGGTCAAGGGGGGGGGGGGCAGATTCCCCGGGCACCGGCTAGTTAGGGGCGACACAATGTCCTTTATATTATTTTATTGATCAAAATAATGGGTTTGAGAGTCGAAAAAAAAGAAAAGGGGGCGCTTTAAAATGAATCTTGTCCCCTGGCGCGAATGTTGTCCCCGGGCGCCAAACATCCTTACTACGCCTCTGAATTAGCATTGTGTCTGATTATAATTAAAGCCTAACATATATTGTCTCTTAATAAATTTTTTGTGTCTCATTAATGGTGTTCTTAGGCATTCCTGTCGACAACTTTGAGAGAGGAAAAATTCTTATAACATAAAAAATTCCAGTTCCAAATTGAATTAGAAGAGAGATGGATTATAATTAAAGTTAAAAATTATTTGGTTTTAAAATATACCAATAATCTGAGCAAACAAGTTGTGTAAGGTTTATTTAACATGTACAGAATAACTAAACTTACCCATAACTAAACTTAATGTAAGGAAAAACAAAGACCTAATAAACGCTGATAAAGACGTAAAGGAAGTGCTTGGATTTTACCAACTAAATGAAATGCTTGGATTTGACCAACTAAATGAAATGCTTGGATTTGACCAACTAAATGAAATGCTTGGATTCGACCAACTAAATGAAATGCTTGGATTTGACAAACTAAATGAAATGCTTTGATTCGACCAACTAAATGAAATGCTTGGATTTGACCAACTAAATGAAATGCTTGGATTTGACCAACTAAATGAAATGCTTGGATTTGACCAACTAAATGAAATGCTTGGATTTGACCAACTAAATGAAATGCTTGGATTCGACCAACTAAATGAAATGCTTGGATATGACCAACTAAATGAAATGCTTGGATTTGACCAACTAAATGAAATGCTTGGATTTGACCAACTAAATGAAATGCTTGGATTTGACCAACTAAATGAAATGCTTGGATTTGACAAACTAAATGAAATGCTTTGATTCGACCAACTAAATGAAATGCTTGGATTCGACCAACTAAATGAAATGCTTGGATTTGACCAACTAAATGAAATGCTTGGATTTGACCAACTAAATGAAATGCTTGGATTTGACCAACTGAATGAAATGCTTGGATTCGACCAACTAAATGAAATGCTTGGATTTGACCAACTAAATGAAATGCTTGGATTTGACCAACTAAATGAAATGCTTGGATTTGACCAACTAAATGAAATGCTTGGATTTGACCAACTAAATGAAATGCTTGGATTTGACCAACTGAATGAAATGCTTGGATTTGACCAACTAAATGAAATGCTTTCTTTAAATGTGTTGTGTTCATGCCTTGTATTTGTAATATTAGTGGTTAATTTGTTGTAGTGTGTTTAATGAAAAAGTTTGCTAAAAGTTTAATTTAGAACTGATGAGAGTGAATGGTAGCACATTTTTTTAAGCCAAGTTTAATGTATAAAAATTTATCTCTGCAAGATTTCTTTCAACACAGCATTAAGTTACCATTCTTTTTATTGCTAAAATTCTGCACATCACTCTCGTAGAGAAAGGTAAGACGCTTTGTGGGAGAGAGAGAGAGAGAAAGAGAGAGAGAGAGAGAGAGAGAGAGAGAGAGAGAAGGAAAATAGAGATAGGGAGAGTGAGAGAAATATATTAAAGACAATTTCGACTCAATATATTTGATTCATTCCAATATTTTGTGAATATTCCTTTTTTTTTCCTCAGGTTTTACTTAGCAATTGATTGAATCTGTACGGCTATTTCTATTATCTTTTCTATAATAGAGGTAAAAAAAGTTGCATTTTTTCCCACGAAGTCATACTGCACAAAAAGCTTTTATATTTTATATTTCATTATTTCTGTTATATATATATATATATATATATATATATATATATATATATATATATTAATGAAATTTTTAGGAATCTGGATTAGGCATTATGGCGCCCATTGCCATACATAAACTTAATTCACTCCGGTTGTGGCATGCCCCAGCGTAATAACCATCTGGCGTAAGCTTATATTGTATACCCCATACTGTAATGGTAATCAGCGTGAGGGAGGGGGGGAATGCTGAAGACAGTTGGGCAAATTCATAATGCAGGGGTTCATTGTTGCACACACCTGAATTCGGTGTTTCTTTCAATTTTGAGGGTTTATTTGAAACTTTGAGATGGGAAGCTCCATAATTAACCATAATAATGATTGAAGACATTTCTAAATCCTCACCAGCGGGACATTAACTATAATCATTCCATTTGTGGCGCCGATGGGGGTGTGCTTTGGGCCTATTTTTTTTCGCCCCACAAATCTTTATACAGGGTAGTCCCCAAAACTATTGTTGATCAATTCAAATTACAAGAATGCACCCAAATTAATTTTGAAACACTCTATAATTTATTAGAAAGCAACGAAAGAGATACTAGTTTAAAAATTTAATGAGTCACTGAACATCAGACCCATCGTGTGAGCCTAGCAACCCCTACGACTGCAGGAGACCTTTTGGGGTTTAAATATGTGATGTTGAGTTCCTTTAATTATCTGTCAATGCCACATGGGGAGGATAAAATCGAAAAATAGTAATGTGGCTTTTATTCTTTTAGTTATATTATTTTTAGGGATAACTACTTAATTAAATAATTAATAATTAAAATGAAATAATTAATAAATGAATCTTAAAAAAACAAAATTCAATTTTAAAAAGGGTTAAAAGGCACTGCAAAAATTATTTTATGTAATGAACGCAAATGGCAAATGGAAAAAACAAACTTACTTATAATTTTAATGCTTAGACTAATTTTTCTAAAAATGTGCTAATTTTACAAGAGAAAAAAAGAAGAAAAAATGGTTTATTAGAAAGTTCTAAACAAGGGGTCTTAAACTCGCGACCCGTGGGCCATTTGAGGCCCGCAAGGCAATATTTTGCGACCCAATACCTGACAGCAATATTTAGTGTTAATGCGGCCCGCGCGTTTTCCCAATGTTCATATCTATAATATGACCCTCCGTGATGGTTTCAATCGAATCTCACCAACAGTACCAGGGAGATGAGAGAGAGGCCCGGGTCACTTAACTTAAAACATATCTAATGAGCCCGCAAGATTTTTTCAAGGATGCAAACAAAGAAAGTGATGCAGCAACATAACCTTGTCATCTAAGTATGGTTAAAAGGATCATGGACAAAAAGGGTTGATTGGGGTCTATGGATAACTTGTGTTATACTATAATGCTGAACGAAAAATTCTTACACAACACAAATTAGCCTTATTCCAGAGGAAATATATATTTTTTTTTTTAAATTGTGATTTTGACGAGAGCACCTGAGTGAAGTTGGAGAAGGTGAAACCCATGTTCCTGGTGCATTCAAAAGTTCAATAATATACGAAACCACCATGTCCATGTTGCTGAACAAGAAAAACTATTTAAATAAAAAAACTTCATTTTCATATTAAACTTAACATGTTTCACTTTTAAAGTTTAAAATTGATTTTTCTCAAAATTGTTTTTTTCTATTGTTTTGTAACGTAGAATTCTAAAATCTCAGCTAATATACAAACTAGAGTAATAAAATTTGTTGTGTACCTTCCTTTAACTATTGTGTGGGTAACCAGTCATTCAAAAGTCAATTTGGCCAATTAGTTTTGTTAAAATATTTTTTTTCATATCCTAGGATAATAAATTTTAAGCGTTTTCTGCCGAGGATAATTTTAAAAATTTAAAAAAAAAATGTTTTGAAAAGTTTGAAGGAAATTTAACTAGCTCAGTACCTCTAAATATAATTGAAGTTCATGAATCAATTATTTTTTAAGCAATATTAATGTTTGTTTTTTAAATTTTAGAACTCTACGAATGGGTATTATTTTCAAGATGGCCGCCGTTGCCATGGCAACTATATTTTTTTCTTTCTTTTAAAGCATGAAAATATATCTCCATTCATAGCTTAACATGACCATAATAAAATAGTTGCTCTAAGTTGGTTAATTTTTAAAAAAAAATGTTGGTAGCCTGCCCCTTTAATATAGTGTCATTAAAGTCTTTAAACTTGTGAAGTTGCAAAGAATAAATAAATTAAAATAGCGATATATGCGAACAACAGGAAGTAGGATTGGATCGTTCAGTGCGATTTTTATAACCGAATACTATAACTTGATTAGCCTTAAATATACGAATCATCAATATATCGAGCCATTTCATAGATCCACTAATTGTGATCTGTTAAAGGCACCAGTTACTATGCAATTGTAACATTTAATATTAAAAAATATATTTTTGTTATATTGTTGTACCAGGCCCGTTCTTAGGCATACACTGATTACGCATCCGCGTAGGGCCCCGAATGTGAGGGGGCCCCCGTGAGGCGTCCTCGATCCCCCGTTTTTTTTAAAACTGGCACTGCAGCCGTCTGTGTCCCTCACGTTACCTTCCTCATCCTGAAATTTATCATTCTGAGTTGAATTCGGAGGCAGGGGAAGGGAAGCAGCAGGGGGGGGGAGCTTTGGGGGTGGCAGACAGGAAATCGGGGGCTTGGCCGTGGGAATGGGAAAGAGGAAACATTGATGAAGGCAGAATGGAGGTGCCGCAGTGGTGGGTGGTGTTTTCTCCTCAGCTCGAGGGAGCTCCACCCCCGGACCCCCCCTTCCGGGGCCCCCAACCTACGCTCCACGCTTAGGGCCCCCAAACTCCTAAGAACGGCTCTGGTTGTACACATTGTGCTCTGGGAGGGTGGGGGTGCGCTCCCGGAGAGAGAGCTGAAAAAAAACCCTGATTGTCAACAATAACCATATTTTTTGAAAGCATGATGCCATCATTCAATTTGTAATTAACACCACTCCCTGGTTTAAAAGTCATGCTTTTATCATAAAATATAATTTGAAAACATGAAAAGATTGCTCACGATTGATACTTAGTAAGAACTCTATTAAAATTATAGACCTTAAAATTGAAGCAAATGTAGTTTAATAGAATTTTATTAACGTCTTTAAACTTTTGAGTTTGCCAAAAATAACTTAACAAAAAATACAGATAGATCTAAATGCAAACGGGAAGTAATACTTCGGC